GAACAATGAGATCATCAAATCATGAGTCGGGGGCTTAACCGAACTGAGCCACCCAGGCACCTCTAAAGTATGCTTCTTATATGAGTTTGAGCCTCACATTGGGTGTGATTACTTAAAAATAAATAAATAAAAATAAACGGTTGTTAAAGAAAAACTAAAGTATGTTTCTTGTAAACAGATATAGTTGGATCATCACTGAAATTTTATATAAGAAAAAGTTTTAAAGAAATTAGGCCAAAATGCATTAAAAAGGCATACCCTCTTCTGAAATTGAAGAAACTACTGCAAAGACAAAATATTCAAGAGCAGTCAGTAAATTTCTGAAAAAAAAAAAAAAATTATGGTAAACTTGTCCCACCAGATATCATAACAGACTATAAAGTATTGTAAATATTGACATTTGAAAAATAGATAAATACATTAGTGAAAAGGAGTAGAATACAGAAAAATACATATGTATGTATGTAATATTAAATCAAGAGGGAGAAAATTATTCAATAAAAGGTGTTAGGACAAGTGGCTTCCATTAGGAAGGAAAGAAAAGTAGATGATCTCTCAAAATTAAAATCCAGTTGCATTACATAAAACTAAAAATTACTATAAAATGATAGAAAAATATCCTATAAATAATAATGGGATAGGGGAGACTTTTCTAGGCAATACACAAAAGTCAGTTTTTAAATTTCTGTATAACAAACATCATAAACATACTTAATGCAAATTTAATTAATGCAGCTAATTAATGCCTGTAACTTGAGAGAGAGCACAAGAGTGAATTCACTTCCAGGTCCACCATTTGAAAATCTACCTTTAAGAAAGTGAATTTACGGGCATCTGGGTGGCTCAGGAGTTTAGGTGTCCAACTCTCGATCTCAGCTCAGGTCACGAGAGTGTGGAGCCTGCTTGCAATTCTCTCTCCCTCTCTTCAGAACCCTCCCCCACTCGCACCTGCATGCATGAGCTTTCTCTCTTTCAAAATAAATAAACATTTTTTTAAAAAGTGAATTTAACTTCTCAAAAGATTGAGTTTGGGATTTTTTTATTTTAAAAATGAGGATAATTCCTACCTCACAATATATTTTAACATTCAGTGAGAGAATAGCTATAAAAGCATGAAATCTGGCATATTATAGAAGCTTGTTCTTCCTTAGTTCAACTTAAGTTGGTATTACATCAAATGAAGAATTACAACCTGCAATGGGGAACAGCAGGATTCCTGTATTTTGGTTCATGATAAAACTACTTTATAATTAATTCCATTCTATTGTGTCTGAAAGAAAACACATTTCCCCTCATCCCTCGCCCACTATATTTGCCTTGTGTAAAGTGTCAGTTGTTAAGAGTGGATCTGTTTCAAAGATGGAAGGTAAAGTGGCAATGCAGCCAGGATTGGCATTAGTTTAAGAGCAAAACGTAACTAATACATATATAATTACATCTTATGTCAATGTCTTTCACCCATTAAAACCTTTCTCCACAAAACATCTTTTTTAAGATGGTTTTCCTAAGTTCTTCCAACAAGGATCATATCTGAAATAGAAACTACAAATGGAAAATCTTCAGAATGGTGTACAATAAACACCGGCTAGGATAAAACATAAATGTATCAGGTAAAGACTAAAGTTTTAAAGACTTGCTAATGCCAATATTTTTACATTTGAACACTGGTTAGAACAAAAATGCTTCAGAATTCAGAAAGCGCAAATTCATTCAACTTTTTGTTTCAAACAAAATATTCACTTCCTGCATGAACCATAATATGTTTAAGTAAAGGAAAAGCACAATTTTTATTAAAATTTTAAAGAGCAACTACACAAAAATTTAGGGTCCAAACAAATTCAAACTTCTTCAAGATATGTTGGTCAAAATGGAAAATTCCCACTTAAAAAAAAAAGTACACTTAAATGCGTACTTTCTTGTAGAGTTTTAGATGAACAAGATTTTGACCTTTAGACTGGTTTTTAAAAAACTAAAAAGGGAATTTTTATTTACACAAAATTACACAATGAAATGTGCCCTCCAATCTAAAAACAAAACCAAAAAAATGCGCTTTGGAATGTAAAAGTAACCATTGGCTTTGGCTCTATTCAAATTACTAAAGACAACGTTGCAATAGTAACATCCTCTCCCTACTTCAACCAATCCCCCATTTTCCTTATCAACTTAGCAAGAAAATTAATGTTTACACTTGAACACTGATGACATTTTTCTTCAGCAAGATCTGCCTTCTGCATCAATTCTATAGCATCCCAGGTAGTTATGTCTCCACGCCAGACTTAAATGCCATAAGGTTCGTTTGTGAAGGTGCGCCTGGATGGCTCAGTCAGTTAATCCGACTTCGATTCAGTTGTGATCTCCCAGTTCATGGGTTCAAGCTCCACATCAGGCTCTCTGCTGTCAGGGCGGACCCTGCTTCAGATCCTCTGCCCCCCACCCGAGCTCATGCTCTTGCTCTCTCTCTCAAAAATAAACATTAAAAAAAATGTATATTTTTTTAAGATTCACTTGTGAAGGAAAATAAAAGTAAGAATCAGTTTTAAAAAAAACAACACAACAGATCAGGACACTACAAGGAATAAATAGTGTAGCTGCCTTACTATAAGAAAACAAAAATGAAAGAAAAGAAGCCCAGCCCTCACAAACCTAATATGAAAGATTCAATATATCACCCACAACATGCACAATACTCTTAAAAGTCAAGTTTCTCTTATACATAAAGCATATGAGTAAAAGACTCTAAAATATTCTTTTCAAATGCTATACAAACTTCATACTAATGGGGTTATAGAAAGACTGGAAAAATTAGGAATGCGGATGATGAGACTTTTACTTCTCAGCGTACTTCCCTCTTTTGCAAATCTAATCTAGTTCCAAAAATGTATACCAGATATTGGAGTTCTTTGAATCTTGATTTCTCTTCCCAATTTGCAGCCAACAATAACTGGAATACTGGAAGCAACTCTTGAAAAATCTCTAATATTTAATTAAAATTGAACAGACATTATATTCAAGTTTAACAAAATTCACTATAATATTCCATACAACTTAATCAGTATCTTCTCCTCTTATTTTATATTCTTTGATTTCAAAAACAGAGACGTCACATGGTCTATGAACAAAACCAGTGGCTGCAAGTATTTCCATGTCACTTCTCTCAACTTTTTTTAAAACATCGAACTTAAAATGTGAAATAAATTGAGCACACAGCCACATTCTCCAGAAGGAAAACGCTGTTACTTCATTAAAAAAAAAAAAAAAAAAA